ACCTGGAACTGACCCGGGTTCAAACGGGTCGACCCTAACCCAACCCGGGTAGGTAAACGAGTCGAAAATCCGAACCCGGACCCGACCCGGCGGGTTGCTGGGTTGACTCGACCCGACACAGGAAGCAAATGCGGGTGCGCGCGGGCTGGACGCGGGTGCGCGCGGGCTGGACTCGGGTGCGCGCATGAGCGAGCAGATGGGAAGGCAAGAGCGCGCGCGGCTGTCTCGGCAATCGCGCGGGCGGCCTCGTCCGGCGAGCGGGCGGTGCGCTGCTGGCATTGTCGCACGAGCATGGCAAGGGCAACCGGGGCAGGAATGCAGGCAGATGCAGGTAACACATGTTAAATAGGTTGGCGGGTTGACCCGAAAACCCGTTAGGTCAACATAAACTGACCCATTTTTCAAACGGGTCTAATCCGTGAACCCGAACCCGACCTGTTTTGAAATCGGATCGGGTCAAACCCGAAATTTCTGGGTCGTGTTTGGGTTGGGTTTTCGTGTCGTGTCAAATATTAACACCCGTAATTAAAATATTTTACTATTTATTCACTCAAAATATCATCTACACTAGCTAGGAGTTCATTACAATCCATTAACCTATCACAAACTCCTGACTACAAAAGAATAAAAGAAGATATATACAAAATCTAAAGAAAACCAGAGGGTCTTTATTAACCTCATTCCAACTAGTCCTAACCCCTTCCATAACCTGAAATTATTAAAATTCATGTAATGAGCTCAAAAGTCTAGCAGTAATTTAAAATTAATTAAAACTTTCATTGCAATGATTAAAGAATCAATATGAAATGCTCACTATAATTTAATCAATATAGTTAATGATCAAATACTATTGATAAAACTCAAAATGATCAATAATAAAAATAGAAAATCATTATAATAAATTTAAAAATTTATAGTTTATATAAAATTCAATAAATCGGTAAAACAATGGTGAAAAAATCATTCATAAATCATTAAAAGAATCTATCTTATCTATTCATATGCATCATCTATTTATGTATTATCAATGGATCCAATAGTATCAATGATATTAATATATTTATCAATGTTATAGTGCTATCATTACATGCATGCATCAATGTATGATTTAGCAAGACAATATATCTACTTTAACATGATGTTTTCAATATCTTTTATCCTGATTGATTTCTAGTTGGTCATTAGTGATATCAATTATCATTTATCCAATTAATCAATTATCATTACAAGTGGCCTCATTTGTACTCTCTGCCTGTCGATGTATTTGGTCATCTGTTATAGGCTAGAACCGAGATAATACCACATCATCTTTAGAGGAAAGTCTGTTGGCCCATCCTCCTGCACAGGATATTATGTTTTAACAGTAACCCATTTTATAGTGTTAAAAGTCAGCCTTTCTTGCTTATAAAAATGCCACACTTAAAATGCAATAGGAAATAATCAATTTTGTTTAATACAAAAAAATTATATAATAATCAAAATTATAAAAAATTTAAATGAGATTTGAGTTACTATAAATAGAAGAAATCTTTGAATAAAATTGATGGATGAGAAAGCCTCGAACAATTTTCTCTCTCTTCTTCTATAAGACACGGTGTTGAAATTCAGATTTTTCATTTAAAAATTTTATTTCAAAAAAATTGGATTATTACAATCTACTCACCTTAGAAAAATATCATCCTCAGTATTTTTCTTAAGGATTTGGGCACAAAATCAATAAAAAAAAAGAATTTATAAAATTAAAACTCAAATCAAATTGAAATAAATCACGAATCAAAACTCGATAAACTCAATCAACTTCTATTACACACTCATACAACTTATTCAATCACATATCATTCACTTATACAATCAATTATGGATACAAACTAATATACCTTAATCTGCCCAATCTACTCAACTTACAATCAATTTTCTATAGCTCTAGTAACAATTCAATCAACTCTTCGAACAACTTCTCTTACACAAATTTGTGACGTCACATAATCAAATTTGGAAGAATTGTCTATTTATCATTTTAAGAATATACCAAAGCTTCTATAAATCATCAATATGAATAATAACCATAAAAAATAACTATAATTATATGCATCAAGATATTTTACTATTTATTCACCCAAAATATCATTTATATTAGCTAGGAGATTACTATAATTACTAATCTATCACAAATTCATGACCATAAAAGAATAAAAGAAAATACAGAGTAAAATCTTTAAAAAAAAACTTGGGGATCTATGTCAATCTCACTCCAACTGGTCATGATTCATTCCCTGACTTGAAATCAAATAATCCATATAATATACTTAAAAGCCCAACAATAATCTAAAATTCATTAAAGCTTTTAATGTAATGACTAAAAAATCAATATGAAATGCTCAGTCTAATATAATCAATAGCAATCAATATAGTTAATGATCAAATATTATCTATAAAACTCAAAATGATTAATAATAAAAGCAAGGAATCATTACAATAAATCTAAAAAGTTCTAAGCTCCTATTTACCATCTCTATCTTTCTGTCCATCTGGGAGTGGTAAGCGGTGCTCGTCCTCAATACGGTCCCTTGCATCCTGAACGGTTCTCTCCAAAGATGACTGAGGAACATCTTATCTCAATAAGACACTATCGATTCTGATATCCCATATAATCTGATTACCTCTCTGATGAATGCTATTGTCACTGTCACTATCATGTACGGATGTTGTAGGGGAATAAAATGATCATACTTACTCAGTTTGTCCATCACCACCAAAATCATTGTATCCCCCTCAGACCTGGGTATCCCATTAATAAAATTCATAGTAACCTCCTCCCACACTTTGGAAGGGCTAGAGGTTGCAATAATCCTTCCGGAGTTATGGCTAATTGTGCTCCCATGGAACTCCTGCAGAAGGTGAGGAATATGGACTAAGGCCTATGGCAACACAAATCTTCCCTAGTACAATAGTCTTTCCCCCATAGGAAATAGCCAAGGTGGCTACTCTCATCCCTCTGCAGATTTGCCGTAATCCTCCTCAGTTCTTCTTCCTGTACGCTCTCCTCCTTAATAGACCTTCAATTCAACATCAATGTTATCGAAATGGC